TACAATGTAGATAATGTGCTTTAATGGCTTAGAAAGTACTCAAAAGGCCATACACATATGAAAACCAGGCCAGAAGTGGGTGATCATAAGACTTTGATACCGATACAGTGATTGTAAAATATAAAAAAACCTCAGGTTTAAAACCGTTGTCCTTGATAGTCTTATAGGACGTCTTTTATCACTTTCAACGTCCCTCGTTTAGTCATACAGTGCTGCACATGAATAAGTAGGGTAGGTACCCTAAGTTTGGTCAATGTCTCAAGCTAGGATCGCCCGACACCATGAGAAAAATTGTAAACATCGTGGAAATGTTTACTGCAACCTCCAAAACTCCCTTCACTTCTTATGTAAATTTCTACAATTAACCCATTGGGAAGGAATTAATGCGCTGCCTGCAACACCCTCTGTCGGCAATTAATTTTACCGAATTTGTAGTTTTTTACTCTAATTGTTAAAGAAAGAAGACCTTAGGTAATAAACTAATAATTCTTTCGCCATTTTGATCACATTAAAATTGTCTACCTTACCGCAGCTGATTTTTGGTGATATCTGGTTTCCATGGCAACACAACATTATTTGATATGCGCAAAAGTAAAAAAGTAAATAGGGCCTACGCAAAACAAGAAGCAAGATATTTATAAACATAATAAAAGTAAGAGGAAACAAAAAATTTGGAAAATAATAATAATTAAATAACTAGTGAGTGGCGCTGCGTAGCGGTGACACGAGCAGCACTCGCCTGCAGCGGCCGTACGAGTAACGCTCGTAAGTCGGCACCAAGGGCTTAAACACTTTTGTATTTATGTCAATCAACTGGTGATGGACTTCAATAGCGGCATGACACCTTTCCCCAGAGATCAGATTCATACAAAGGGGGATAGTCAATTTTTGTCACACAGCTATCAATTACTGATACAAGACTAATCATAGCATTGGGGTAGGAAGAAAAGCAGTTGACAAAGATTTTAACAAGCTCGCTTTGCCGCGACAGGAGCTTGTTGGAGGCTTAATTTACAGAAAAGCCAGCAAACCACGTTGCCCGCTACAAAACACTTATTGATGTCATTTTATATTTTTTTTTTCTCACTGATGAAAAAGTACCTAGGCTATGGAAATAGAAATGATTTATTGCGGAACCGTAAACAAATCTGATTTAATTATAATATAGGTAGCTTGACGAGTGAATATCCAATCTTAATCTTTCACCAGGCTCATAGTGGAGGTTGCCTCCACAATTGCAAAGGTTTTTGTAAAAAAATCATAAAGTGTGCGTTTGGTAATTTGGCTTTTAATGAGCCCTAGTACACTACTTTTGGGGAGCAAGCTGGCGTAGTGGTTAGAGCGCGGGACTTCAGTCCCTGAGGTCCCGGGTTCGATCCCCGCCAAGTCACCAATGGATTTTATCTAAGTGATAATGCCGCAACCCCTAGGTCTAGCCTGAAGTAATGTGAAAAACAATTCCAGGCTCGTGCCTGGACAAAAAAAAAAAAAAGTACACTACTTTTGACAAAATGCATCACATTCGGTTCTAGGTGGTTTTGAGTGTTGCATCAGAATATGGCTGATTTTTGTCAGGGCGCGGATATAGCACCCAATAATGTGGGTTTATTTCTGTGTGCGCCTTATGGATCTAATAATGTGAGATCATGTTTAGTACAGAATTATTTTTTTACTATGTATAAAATATAGTTTTTGGAGCAGTGTATTATTTTTTAAACAAGTACAGTAGGCCTAAATTATTTTTTCGTTTGCGACTTATCTATGGATGCCATCTAGTACCCATGAAAAACTATGCACTTTGCTTAGAGAACAGCTAAAAATTATGAACTTTGAACGATTACCGGTAATTGAGTAAAATTGAATGTGACGAACATGTTTCTGTGGTCATGAAAGGACACCAGTGGCATTTTTACATGCTCGGGATTAGAGGAGGAAGTACCTCAAACGCTTTTAGGGAAAACGGTCCAAACCCATGTGTTGTTAGGATTTTACATCCCATTAGATTTTTAGACCTCCATTCAAGTTAGGATTTGGACACATAGTTATATGGGTGACCGCCGTTCTCTGTTTCTGCTCTCACAATTCTTTTAGTGTCAGATCGTGTGGCAATTAAAGATATCGTAATTTTAGAGATATGGTAAATTTGTTTCTTGGTTCCGGTGCTTTTCTGAAAAACCGGTAATACTGAGCAATTCCATCAGGTAACACATTAGCAACACATGTGACTATCAGACCTATCTAATTCAGGATCTCCCTCCACTCAAACCTGATTTTAAGATACTGGCCACTAAAGGCTTTCAAGTGATCGAGTGACTAGTCTTGGAGAAAATCGAGCCAAGTGAGCTTCTATTTTTGCGGCCGCAGAAAGCATCTGCGAAAATGGCACGATAAAAAAATCCCTGATCACGAAAGATAAGTTTATGAATTTTGTGACCATGGAAGACGATCATGATGTCTAAGCGATGGCAGGAGGATACAATTACGATAGTGCCGCGACTACAGATAATAGTCATGATGATTTCTTAAAAAGCAAATACAACTTTTTTCCTGGTAATTTTATAATACAGTAGAACCCCGTTTAACCGAAATCGGGTTAACCAAAACGGTTCCTTAAAATAATACAGTGCTAAAATATAAGTAATTTGTAATGCAAAATGCTTCAGTAACTTCAGTTGTTTAGTTTAAAGTAGGCTATTATCTAAATCTAACCCATTAAAAACCTGTATGTAGCTGAAATAAAACACTGTAGTTTTATAAAATTGTTTAAAATTAATCTTTCCTACACACTGTGATAATAAATAGGCTATTTTTAGCATATGACGGGTTAACCGAAAAATTGGTTACCGGTATCCGAAACGGCTCTCCCCCTTTATTTCGGTTAACCGGGGTTCTACTGTAATAATATACAATGAATCATAATATAGACTAAGTATAATAGTTCCATAATGATAAAAAATTAACACAAACAAAACTGTGTGAAATTAAAGGAAAGGTCTGTGAAACGACTCACAGAAGAATTTTAAAAAGTGACACTTTCGATTTACAATACGGTACATTCCAGGCAGGGTAAAGGCTGGAATGAAATTTGTTTTAGCAAAAATTCCTCAAACTCTTAGATAACTGTAGCAGAAATATTATTCTTCACAAGCATTAACAAAAAAAAATCCAGTATTAAAATTACATGTTTGAACGTTACATCTTCAATTTTATTTGTAGCATATTTGCTATAGCCTTCAAAAACAAAGTGGCATTTTAAAGTTTAAGTTGTGTAGGCCTATAACAAAGTGCTAAAAATGCTACCGCAGCTTAAACCCTGACTCCAGGTAAGCCCCAGTTCCCTGAGCTCTCGGATGGAGGTGGCTTTAGGCCTGGATATAACTTTATTTTTTTTATAACTTACAATTAGAAAACAATGGATACCTAATTACGTTATTGATGTACCGGTACACGTTTCTATCTGAATAGGCCTAGGCCTACTTGGAAATATCATTACAAGTAGGCATATTATTTTAACGTACCGTAGGCTACAAATTAAGTTAGGTATCTGCAAATAACTTAGAAAATGAAATCCTATATAGGTTCACACTTAGTATGTTTTTCAAATAATTACCGTAACATCAAGACGATTGAAAAAGTGTTGAGCATGCTTTAATATTTATTTTGAATATTCCTATTTCATTCATTCATTAATCAATTCATTCATTCATGCTTTAAGATTTATTTTTCTCTTTAAACACTACTCTTTTAAAAAGAGTTTTAAACTTCATTATTTGTTAAATTTGCTATATAGGCTAGGCTATGGTATTGCTAACATATAGCCTATCTTACAAGTAGGCCTTGTTGACTTCCTAATGTAGTTCCGCTAGCCTACCCCTAACCTCAAAATCTAAGCGACCTCTGTGTTATCCGAGATTTTTAGTAACTGAGGTAGTCTTCTGTATTTAAAAAGATAGGCTAATAATGAATTTTATTTAGCTGAAACTTTAACCCTGGGACTGCCCTGACCTGATTTATGCTGAATTGCTCGGTGCCCTTGCAATTTTGGCCATTTTTCACAGTTGTTTTTGACAATTCGCAGGGCCTGTTGCAGTTGTTTTTGACAATTATTTACCGCCGTTTGAACGGTGTAAGGTTAGTTCTAGGGTTAAACAAGTAATGGATGTTGACAACAGGAAAATTTATTATCTTTATTCCAGTTTTTCAGGATTTTATTAATTTTGTTTGTTATTTGAGACTGGAATCTCAAAATAATATTAAACCAGCCTCTTCGAAAGTCAGAAGTTGAGCTTGCACACTTGACATTTTGAATGTCATCAAAATCACAGGAGCATCAAAATCATTACAGTACTTGGCATCGCCGAGGTCTTCACATAAAATTAACAATTACATTCACAGATTATCTTTGGTAATAGGATGAATTGCATAATGCTGGATACGGGAAAATTACAATTGGCATAGCAGCACGTTTACTAAACCCCAGAGTAAAATAGACCAGTCAGTGCAGGGACACTGTATGGCGATGTTTCCGATTGTGTCACCTGTAGTCGACACAATTTGATTCTGATTGTTTTGACTATGTTAAAATAACTAGCCCCTAGCCTATAAGGTCTCGTGATCAAATATCAAATCAGAAAATAGAACCGAGCTAAGCTTTTTACTATCATGACTATAAAAAACAACTGCAAAAATTATAGTCCTGATGTTGCCTTGGTTGCAGAATGATATGATGTATTTGAGACCACAAAAGACGATGATAGTGTCTCTTTAATTGTAGGGGATTTTCAAAATTTTTGGTGCAAAAGTTAATAACTAAGTTTGATGGTCTCAAATTTAAGTTGAAGATGTCTCCACGATCGTGAGAGATAATTATGATAGAGCTCCGGTCTTGAATTATAGTCACGATCACTATATGATGAATGCAAACTAGGTCTATATCAGATTAATGATTAATAAAACTAGGCTAAGTTAACTACTTTTTAACTGATAGGGGTAGGCCTTACCTGACATAAATGACCATTCCATTAGTATGAAGCCGCTTCCAGCCAGAGGGCACAGCAACAGATGCTGGATTATCCAAAACAGGAGGTTTATACGCACTTACACTCACGCTACTAGTATCCGATCGGTCACTAGCACCCACAGAACCACAAGAAGATTCCGCGTCAGAGCATCTCGGAAACACCACATTTCCTCCGATACCATCCCCACCCATCACTGTAAAATCCTCCCTGCGTTGAACCGTCCGCACTCCCACACCGTACTGATATCCGTTCTGTGTTTGCTGTACGTTATAGAACTCTTGGGGAGTTTGGTGTTGGTGTTGTTGTGGCTTCAGTTGTTGTTGTGTTTGTTGGTGATGTTGTTGTTGTTGTTGCTGTTTCACGGCGGACGGAGCCTGGTAGCCACTGGGTCCGGGGTCGGGATTCGGGTTGCCATTGCCTTGGTAAAAGCTCTCTCCAGACACGTACACTAGCACATTCTGCAGGCCAGGCGGTCCGCGACCCTCGGGCTTACCGGACATTCTCCTCCGACACTAGCAACAACATCACTAGTCGTGTCCGTCACTGCGCCGACCACCTGCAACATAAACATCCCATGTATACGTATATTGTAGGGTAGTCTAAAAAATCATATGCCAAAATATAATAGGGGCACAAAAAATTATGCTTGAAAAAAAATACCTACCTTTTAATAGTGTGAATCAGATTAATTAACTAGGCCTAAGTTAACTTGTTTTAATAATGTTCTAGAAAATCCTTGTCCAACTAAGTTGGCCTGCCTTGACAGCCAATGTGAAACACTAAAATTAAAATGCTTTATAACTATTTTAATAGTACCTACCAATTTTTTTTTAAATTGCCAACTTTAAAATGCATGTTTGAAGAAAATGTATCCGTTTTTCGACCTATTCAATCTATTGAGAAGCGAAGAAAAAACCAATAACAAAACGTCTTTTAAGAGTAAGAAAGCTGCAAATAAAACTATATAGAGATATTAAATTTGTGAAATGCCCTAATTGATTGGGACCTAGATGTTTTTGTACTTTTGCCAATGTATAAAAATACATTCAGTGTGGAATGTTGCCAAAACACTGTAACAACAGACGAAAATTGTGTTTGCAACTTGATGGTTGTAAGTCTTTTCATGATTTATACTTTTTGTATTGCCTCTAAATAAAAACTGTCTCGATTATTTTAATCAAAACCATGCCTCCAGTCTTCTTGTTCGTTGAGTTGGACTACATTAAGGTTTTAGTAGTAATTTATATTTTTTTAGAAAACAATGGTGAAGTAACAGTATTGGAATTAAATAATTCAGAGAGAGTAGACCTTACAGCCCAAAATAAAAACGAGAGAGCAATTAGAGTGAGAATAGCAGCGGCCTTTATACCTTTAATAATCTAGCCAACAATTGTATCCGTGTATTGAAAATTAAGGCCTCTTTCTCTCTTCATATGAGTTTTCTAAGTTTTAATTCAAATCCAATAAATAAACGGAAATGAAATTTAATAGTTTGAGACGTAAAAATTATTGAAGCCTACAAGTTTTTAGTAAAATAAAAAGTTATCAGCTGTGAACTTCATTTTACGGCACCTCTCTAAAACCCCCATTTTACTCTCAATAAAAACTTTAAAACAGGGCTTCTAACACCAAACAAAGAATTTCTCCCAGGTCTGGGATATTTAGAATATCCTGGAAGATAAAAAATGTTTGGATCCAGAATTCAAAAACCACTGAAAGTTAAAATACAAAGACATTTTGATACAACTTTAATTTAGGACTATTCAAAATATACTCAAGACAGCTAGAATCAAAGCAAGCATAAACATCCACCCGCTTTGGAAAGATTAGTTTCTAGGAAGTTAAATTTGAGTTTCTACAAAGTTATATTTGAACTGATAAGTCTATACAAAAGATGTTCTGCATTTAATCAATATTTTAACATTCTGCAGTTAAGGCACCCTATCATCTCTTTTTATATTGAGACATTTTGGTTTTTACAATGTGAAACCTATAGGGTAATTAAGAGGCTTGACAAAAAAACCAAATGTGAAAAATGTACAGAGTAAAAGGAGCATCAGGAATCCAACGAAATTCAAGACCTCACAAATAATCCTCAAAGAACACCTAGGTCAGTAGTCTACCGTAGGCAAAATGGGTGCTAGTGATGTAAAACGCCCTGGCGTTTAAATCTCGGGGCAAATGCCCAGGGAATTTGCCCATATAACAGCCCAAAATCCATAAGCGCCGGGTGTTTATCCAGTTAAAGGCTAATAAACCTAATTAATGGAAATTAAATTGAACACTACTCTTCTAGTCAACTTTTTAAACCTCTAACATTAGATATTTACATAATAGCCTTTATAAAAAAAAAAAATAATTAGGCCTACTTGTATAATTTTAATTATATTGGTAGGAAGCCAGTACTAGAGAGTCAACACTTTTCTTTTGTCGACAAGAGGAAATAATTTAGACTGAAAATAACTTCATAGGTTTATTTTTATTAAAAATAAAAATAATAATAAAAAAAATAATAAAAAATAATAGGTCAAATAATAAGGTAGGTACCTCTTGTCGCTCAATGTTATTTCGCCATAACGACAAGAGGTCCCATTTTTTAAACAGATCCTAATAAAAATAATAATAAAAAATAATAATAAAAATAACAATATCTGGCTAATGTAATAGAATTAATTTAGCACTTGTTTTACTAACAAAACCTTAATACTTAACTTTAAATTTAATTAATTAGACATCATATATTTATCTTATGCACATATTTATGAATTACAGAGTAGAAACCTGCTTAATCAGTATATAAGATTTTATTTAACAATTTAGAAAATTATTTATTTAAAATACCACACTGAAAATATTACAGGTTTTATTGTATTACGCCTTAAACTGAACTTTTTATAAACGCCCAGTTTTTGGGCGCTTAAAATCGCTTTGGGCAAATGCCCGGACAAATGCCCATTTATAAACGACCCGCCCACTGGGCATTTGCCCGGCCCACATCACTAAATGGGTCCGTACCGTAAAAAATATGTCCGTAAGGTAGGCAAAATGGGTCCGTATTGTAGGCACAATGGGTCCGTACGGCAGGCACAATGAATGTCTCATGAGAGTCAGATCAAACATGTTAACTGAACTCTATTTGAATGGGTTCACAAAACATCCCAATCTGATCACGTGAAAGACGATTTTGTTCACATCTACCAATAACCAAGTTTAGACGTTTTTATCTGACTTTTTATACATTATAACTGATTCTACTGTTCTAAATAGCCTAAAAATGTATTCAAAATCAGACAAAATAATTTAGTAGCCGATATTATTCTTTTACTGCAACAACCAATTACAGATACGGTATTCTAATTGCCAGACACAGTATGTTTAAGATGTAAGCAAATCTTGTTCATACATTTTGTCCTAGCTGTACGGAAAGGTATAGTCAAGAGAGAAATTTTTTAATTTGTATCGCACGCAGGTGTTGAATGGTTATAGGCTGTTAAAAAAATTGGCAAATATCTTTATTTTATAGTTGGCTCTAAAACGTGACCAAAACACTGGATCCACTGTGATTTTTAACAGCAAACCGGCATATTACTGCGCTAATATTTTATATAGCCTATAGCCTATTTTAAACCTCATTTTTTCATGCACTTGTTTTGAATAAAAATTTAATAAATTTATCAGTAATTTGCTTGGTTGTTCAGGTTTATTGTTAAAGCGTTTTTTTCTTCGGAGAACAGTAGGCCTACTAGAACTGTTATAGGGATGGCTGACAGAGGGCCAAGGTCTAATGCTAGCAGAACACTATCGCCGAATGTTTGGCAAAATTTTTTATTCGGGTTGCGACGACGAATGCTACCTTGTGAATGCGAACCATGACCTCACCCAACACATGCTCGCCCTTGTTCGCCAAGCATGCTTGCTGGTGGTTAGACATATTTTAACTTCCGGCACTTGTCTTTGCTCGTCTCCTTTGACTCGTTCCAAAAACCGACAAAGATTGGAGCACAGGCAGCATGAATCTTGGCTAGGCGAACTATCCCGAGCCTACATGAGCAGACCGGGTACACTATCGTGCTCACCTATATTCGGCGATTGTGTACTGGTAGCATAAGAAGTTAAAGCAGAAAAATGAACATTACAGGCCTAGCCTATTTCAAGAATTTTACAGCACTCTTATAATAACATAGGTCGTGGCCATTATAACGATTAAGTTGACCCCGCAGCTATTCTTAGTCGGAATATATAGTTACCGGTACTATAACTTAAATAATTTTGTCTTTAATTACTATCCATTAACATAATTTTATAATAAAGAAATTCTAGTATTAATAGGCCTATAAAATTTAGGTGGCTTTAAAATAAATCGCTCCACTGTTTCTATATTCAAAAGAATATTCAAGTTCTTGCTCATTTAGCAACCATTTTTGTAGACAAGCAATTACTAGATAACCTAAATATTGTTTGGTTACATATTCCGTTAAAGAAAGTCTAGTTGCACTAGTATCAGGCCATCTTCACCCTACGTTCTGTAGGGTCAGTGTAAGTCTAAGGAGGTTTCTTAAGTTAAATATTTTATTAGGCCTAAATGAAGAAAGATCACTTTGAGGGTTTCGATTCAAGTAAAATTCAAGATTTTGAATAGAAATCAATGTAAAATAAACGGTGAAATTTATTGTGCTCGGCATAAATCTTGAAACCTCAAATGATCCACAAGTTAATTTTTTTTTTATATGATAAGGGTAGGCAAACTTCATTCATGTATTTTAAAGCTGGACACAACAGTGGTTTTATTTTTTTAACTGGCAAGGCTAATTCAATGTAGGGTTCTAAATGTCACTAAAGTCACTGTGCTACCGCAATTTTAGTCAAACTAATGCTGGATGGTGACCAAGGCAATTACTGTCCGCGAGAGTAAAGAAGTCCCATGAGCCAGAGCGATACGCAGCTATGTTTGGAGGGTATCGCGCACTATTTGCAGGCGCTGAGCATCTGGGCGCCTCGCCCCGATGTCTTTCTGTAAACAACTGTTGTCAACATAATTACTCATATATTTGTTTTGGTAAGTGGATTATCATCATGTGGTCACGTCATTTGATTCAGTGCAGTCTCGTGTGTTCGCGTAGTGAGTTCTGTTTTGTTTTGGACGGTCCTTGGACGGATTTAGGAAAACGTTGTGCTACCATTCATAGTGGAGAGAGGGATTTAATTAGACGGGTGATCGAGTGTTGTGACAACGAATGTAAAGACAAAAAGTTATTAGTGCTGATAGAAAAGGCAACAGAACGTGCCGCAAACTATTGTAAAGTGTCAGAAAAACCATTAAACAAGTTAGAAAAGCCGGCAAACAAACTCCGGATGAAAAAATCTGTACACCCGGAAAAAACCCAAGAAGGCTGACCACCACAAAGTACAAATAGATAGCTTTGATAGGCGTGTAATCGTAGATGTAGGTAGCCTAAAACAAGATTTTTACACGAACAAAAAAATTGTCCCTACATCTAAAAAACTATTACCTGTTTTGAAAGAAAGAATAAATTTTAAATGGAGCGAATGGGCACTTCGGCGTCTCTTAAAAGATATGGGGTTCAAGTGGAAGAAATGTGGTTCCAAAAGAAAATGTTTGATATGTTAATTGGAGGTTTAGGTATTTGCGAGGGATAAGAAAGCTAAGGGAACAAAAGAGGAAAATTTTCTACCAGGACGTTACTTGGATAGACAGTAATTTAACGTTCCAGAAATGTTGGCAAAGTGTTGACGTCAATCGTGTGTTACCTGATATGAACGCGTCAAACCGTGTGATTGTCGTAGACATTGGGTCAAACGAAGGGTTTTTGTAGGGGGGTCGGCTTATTTATAAGGCAAACAGTGCCAAAGAAGACTACCATGGCCAAATGAATTTTTCCAACTTTGATAAATGGATTAAGGAACGTGTATAGCCAAATTTACCGCCAAATTTAGTCATAGTCATTGACAACGCTCCGTACCATGGAGAACAGGAAGACAAAGTCCCTAATAAGTCTTCAACAAAGAAAGTAATGGTTGGTACAAAAAAACTTTTGGTACTAAGTTTTAAGGTTAAGTTTAAGTTATGTTAAATCCAAAAATTGAACAAAATAGGAAACACTGCACCAAATGCTTGCATTTTTGAAATTATTATTTATTGTGTTTAAACCACCAATTCAAAAGTGCAAAAACTGTCTGGAGATAACATAAATTAACAACACGATTCATTAGGCTATAGGCTAACCTAAACTTTAACTCCCCTAATCTAACCTACATTCAAAGGACTTAATACAGTCACGAATCCGCATTACGCCCAGACTACCTACCTCATATGTCTTTTCCATCTTATAAAAACAAATTTTATGCTGCTCGAGAAGTTAAGTTGGGTTATGTTAGGTTAGAACAGTATCAATTTGTAAAATAGCCTATCCATTTTTTCAAGTACCGTAAGTTTGGCCATAGATTAAGTTTAACATATTCGCTAGTCTAGGGTTGGTCAACATAAGTCTGCCACAACACCATTATCATAATGGGACATAACGGTTACATGGTCAAAACCTAAGCAAAGCCACTCGGTGAAGTTAAGAGAAGAACCAAACGAAATGAATTGCTTTCTTCATTTTTCATAATCCAGTCCAGATTAAATAAGCTATGTCCGACCAAGAGATGTTTAAATAAAGTTACCGGTAATCTTAATTAAATTTTAATTAAATATTTCATATACGTAAATAAATCAATTTAAATTGACATATTTACCTTATTAAAAAAAGTGTGGGTTGTGAGGGTAATAATTACTTTCAAATGGAAAAAATCTATAAATAAATGTGACTTGGGCTCTTAACTTTATTTTAGAGTGTAAATATTGATGTGCAGATCAATGTTCCTAAAAACAACATAAGGCCTAAAATAAAATTCAAACGCTCGTAGTTTAACTTATTCAGTTTCTGCGACAGCAGAAAAGTGTTTGCACCATTATTTTCAGATAAAATTCTAGTTTATATGTTAATGATATATAAATTACTATAGGTTCCCTTGGTCACCTTAATACGCATAATTAGGTACCGTACCTTAAGTTATAGGCCTAATGACTTTTGTTAACCCTGGATTCGGCGCTGGTCGATTATAAAAAAAATGACTTGGGTTGGGGTTTTCATTATTAAATTACATTATTACCTTCACAAATAACTGTTCTGTGCAAAATATATGGTACCACTAGGCCCTTCAAAGGGTCAAAATATACCCGCCACTAGTGAATAATATTACCGCCAGATCTAGTGTTAGGCCTAACTAAGTCTAACTAGCCAAATAACTTTATTAGCCTAACTAGGTTTATCAGCTTCTATTAGACATGTACTAATAAGCTTAGCTTATTTTAGCACACTGAGCCATAACCAACGACATCTGAATCCCTTAACCCTCCAAGTGTCCATAGTAATGGCATTAATGTCGGCCCATTTATTGCGCAATCGCAGGGTTTCATTAAAATGTATCTTAGAAACTTAAAAACACTCTAAAGTAGCCTATAGGCCCTAATGTTTTATATAGGTATCATTTTGTTTCGAAAATTATGGGCTTCAATGTAGGACTAATATAAAAAACATTACAAAAAAAAAATTTTAATTTTGGTGGGGTTAACATTTCTAAAAAATTATAAAATAAATGAAAAAAAAATACTTATGTTTGCGCTTAATAATTATTTATAATTTATAGGTCTTCAAATATTTTAAAATAGCCACTTTGATTTAAATTTTATAGGGATTGCAAAAATATAATAATATAAGGAAGTAAATTTGCAAATAAACAATTTATGGGTGAAAAACAGATTTCGTACATTTAGCGTTTAGCTAAGAATGCATAAGACTTAGCCTAACCATAGCTAGGAATCTGGCGGATAATTTACATCAATATCACTCCCTACTTCTTCAGGATCATCAACCAGCCCTTCAAAATCACTACTTTTTATTTTTAACACTTAAACAATGATAGGTAAGCGTAATAAAACACATCAGTCATCGGTGCGAGGTTAACCAAGTTGTTTACAAATACGCACGTCAGCTGTCTGCTACAATATTTTCGGAACTAAAATGAAAAGCGTCTAGAAACAGACATTAGGAGAAAGCTTAGAATCTGCCGAAAACAACGATACCAATTCCGATCCAGTTCAATCTGATTCAGTCAGTCCCATAGCCTTCGCTGTAAACGATGTTTAAGTGTGTCGCAAAAGTGACGCATAACACACCGGCGGGTGTGTTGTGCATCGATTACGCGACGCTTAACACTCAGGGGGTTAAAATAAAAGTAGCAAAAGATTAACTTATTGAGCGCAACACCAATAACTTAACAGGAAGGGAATATGGGTAGGCCTACAGTTTCTTAACTGGGGTACGCTAATATCTATAAAATATGGATTCGATTAGTAAATCTTCATTCGATTCTTTTTAATGTAGCCTACCTAAGTTATCAATTATAAACTGAAACTGTTAGCCTAGGCTATAATAGCCTAACCTAACTAATAACTAACCAAATTTGCTGATGAAAAAATCGAACGAAGGTTTACAAATCAAATCGATATCTTCAATCGATATTAGCGTAGCCCATGAAACTGTAAGTTACCATGGAAGATTTGATTTGTAACAAATTATTCAAATGATTCAAACGGATCTGGGTCCTAGTTTTTAAGTTAATTTGTTTAGGAACTGCCTGATAAAATATCTTGGATATAATTTATATCGTTGATTTTTAACTCTTAGAGTTAAAAATTTACTTCTGTTATTTATTGTCCAAGCTAGGTTATTGGTTCCTCTTAAGTTAATTCTCTGAGTGCAACACAGAAAATTCAACGCCAATATTGTCGGTTAGGCTATAATAATAATTTTAATATTTTATACCATCCTCCTCTCATTGAAGTAAACTTAAGCAAAAAAAAAATTGTCTACACCTTATTACTCCATAAAAGAACCCCAACATTATTTATTTACCAATCACTAAACATAAGTACAGTATAACATAACTTAACTTGCTACATCTTACCTGCATGTCGTTAAATATTCTCCTATGTTCTTTTTTAACATCACATAAACAAATAATCAACTTTAAAGTAAAAAGTTTAAAACAACAAATAAATACAATTGAAAAGTTACAAATATTACCGCCACATTAGATCATAAAAATATTTATAGGCCTCCTGTATGTCAACAGAGCAGCCGTCGTAACACCTGGCGAAAATGACATCAATGTTTTCACTAAACCCAGCTTACACGAAAAGCAAACACACTACATCTATACATATTATTGAATTATGTTGTTAACACTCAATGAAAAACTCGATTGTTCATGAATATTTACATGAAAGACGCGAAAACTTCTCGATTCCGAAAACAATATTTTCCACATTACTTATGATGGAAAAATATGGTTCCTCAATCCCAGAGTCCTTTGCGCCATTTGCGGACGTCTCAGCAACTAAGATCCATGATGCACTTCACAAAAACAACACAAAAATACAAGGCGTGAAAATGGACGCGTTCAGTTATTCAGAACTAGTGCTTGTTGGATTTGATTGGAGATGGAATTTTTAGTTGCGCAATGTTTACTGCTCAAAATGGAGGATCCAGTAGTTCCACTCTTGTTCACTGAGCGCCACTTAACAGAGTCATATGATGATAATACAAAGAGAAACAACAAAGATAACAGTAAAAACTACTGATAAAAGTGAACATACTATATGAAAGTGTTATGGACATTAACCGTAAGGCCGCGGCTCCACTTGCCGTAAATTGCCGCGCTGCAAATTGTAGCTGGTCAGTTGAGGAAATGGGAAGGCAGCGATCAAACGAAGGTGGCTCCACTAGCGACAGTCTGCAGCGCGCTACATTTTACGGCGCGCCGTAGAATGTAGCGTCGCGCGGGAATGGAACTCGGACCATTTTCGCGCTACATTTTGCAGCCAACAGGTGGCTCCACTAGCTGTAGATTGTAGTGCCGCGCCAAGTCAGTGTACCTACGTGTACAGGCGTCAGGCATAAATGATCAAGACACACGCTAAATCAGTATCGACTTTTTATTGTCCTTAGTTTTTTTTTATTTTTGTGGATTGATTTGTAACCAATGGAGCCTCAACTGGACTGTGAAATTATTATATTAGAAAATTATTACATCGGGAGTGTGGGGATCTTGTTTTATAGAGGTTGTGTAGGGGTTTCCTACCTTAAATTATAAAGTAATACAGTAGTGATTGGAGAAACGAATACGTGAAAACATTCAATTTGTTTTTAAATGCAGCAGTAGTAAAATTTTTATGATTATTAGTACTATAATAAAAAGCTCCTATGGCTGGTTTAGATTATTACTATAGTTACAACAAAAACTCACGAAACTCATTTATTTTCACCTTACATTGGTTACTTAGAAATATTACTTATGAGGGTAAATGTAATAAAATTAAAATAGAATAGAAATAAAGATAAAATGACCATTATTATAGTAGAGTAATTCGACACACTCAAGGATTGATGAAGCGAGGGTTCACTGTATAAAATTAATTAGTTAAAATTCAGTATACTAAAATGACTTAAAAGACAATGTCAATGAAAGCCTTTCCTCTACTCCAATTGTTTCTCTTAGTTTGGTATCCTTCTTCTTTAAACGTGTTGATACTAAACGTGCTGATTACTATTAAGTAATCAAAAGAGTTTTGGGACATTCAATAATATTCCAAAAAGTTATTATGATTGGCGTCGTCTTGATAAAGTACACTGATAACAACACTAATGTTAATTTGTGGCATGATCCAGGGCCACGTTTACCTCCGCGCTACACTTAAGGCCTGGTTCCACAGGATGCGGAATCTCCGCCGTGCGGTGCGATTTTTTCCGCTGCGGAATTAAAACGACACTGGTTTAATGGAGTTCCCATGTGTGCGGTTCCACTGACTTGCGATTCCGCATCCCGAAATTTCCGTTCCGCATGGCGGAGAAATCATACTGGTCTGAGAGCATCAGTAGCAGTGCGGATTCCACCAGCGGAGAAGAGCCATCAAATATTGTGACCGTGCAGTTTCAAGGTCTTGTGCTGTAAAAAGAGTTATAGATGAACGTTTTTCTTCGACTGAAGAGGAAGAACTTGTCGAGTTGGTGTCTCAACATGATGTGGAAATCGCATGTCAGTGGGTTTCTGAGAAATTAGCGAAGACGTATGCACACAATCACACCAGAATACATTCAATGATAAAAGTAATGGTTTGTTTAGGTCACGTTTACCTATACACAACATTTGAGCCAATTATAAAGTAATACCTATAATCGCAACACCGACTTTCAACAAACTAACTGCTTAAATAAATTATTATAATGCATTTAACATAAACTGTCGAAAATGGTAGACCTGACGAACAATTATCCTGAGATGTTTGGGTATCAAGTGTTGAACGGAATCTGATCGTGGTTGAAACCCCCTTAAGTTTCGTTAAATAAATAGCAAAAATATTAAATATTGGTACATACCTTAGTGGTACCGCTAGTTTTATCTCGGCATTCAATGGTTGTTTGTCTCGATTAGTAGCGTTGGTGGGTAAGTCATCTTTGATGAGATCAACCAAAAAGAAAAATTGGTCTTTTGACACACGGAAGTACTTAATTTCGTTGTCAACTAAATGATTACGAACCAGAATGTTATACGCCCCTTCACTGTCCCGATTCTTAAATATGTCACTTCGGTCACTGCGACTTGACACTAACAAAGATAAAAGATCGACAACATCAACATCAATGTCATCATATAGCATCAAAGCCAAAAGGGCTTTCCTCTTTCTATCCATACTCCGTCGCTAGTTTGCACAGAACTGAACCTCCGCAACGTTATTTTCGCAGTCTGTAGAACCACACCTCTGATTTTTCGCTGGCGGAGATTCCGCATCCTGTGGAACCATAGCTTTAACTGCTAGTGGAGCCACGGTGCACACATGAGGACGCTGCAGATTGTAGTTCGTGCTCTGCTGCTAGTGGAGCCACCAACTGAAGCGTGTAGCGCGCTACAATTTGCAGCGCGGCAAGTGGAGCCGCAGCCTAACGGCCACCTTTAACTTCAGGCCGCAGCATTCGAAGTGGCAACATCGCAAGTAGTGTTGTAACAGATGTTTAGTTTGGAGGCAGCTAATGGTATTTGTGTATTTTTTAAGAACACGAAAGCTTATGGTTACTGGGCTATGAAAATATTGACTCCACTTTATATGTGGTACAAAGATAGATTTCGTAGATTTTGTTCACAAATTCAAATTGACACTAATGATAAGCAAATTAATAAGCTGGTGTCTCATGTCTGCTATGTTTTCTTATGGGACGTCTGGTGCTAGATGGATAGACAACACTACTTTGCAACGTTGCCAATTCTATCAGGCCGCGGCTTGGAGTTAAAGGTGGCCGTGACCATAGATAAAACATGACATTGCCCATATTTCGTGCTCCATATTTCAAAAGGATAGAATTATGTTACCAAAGAGTTTACCCTCTAACATAAAAACATGGGTAGCGTAGCGGGATTTTATCCCCCTGGAATTTAACCCCCTGAGCAAAACTGACGCCACAAAGGGTAAAATTCCGGCCGCGAACTTTTGAGTTGCGCAACATGAGTTGACAAAATTAAAGGTAGAATTAAATATATCTTTTCACGGTTGTGAATTTAATCATAACAAATTATATTATAAAACCTAGGGTGTATGGGCCGGAATTTTACCCTCGGACTTTTACCCCCTTCATGAGTTTGGCTCCAAATTTTCGGCCCGGATTTTTACTCCCTGTCCAGAGTCCCAATATAGAATTTGGTGGTAATAATTAATTTTGCGAATAATAGATCTGTTTACAGAAATACGTAAAACAGTAAACTATTAGTTACCGCTAATAAAAACTGTCTAAAAGTGTTTCTCTCTCAACTATAATTATTTAAAAAATAATTATTCTCGCCAATTTCTGTATTTGGCCATGAGGTAAAATTCCGGGGGTAAAAATCCGGACGGTACATCTTCAGTTGCCTAAACCCTAGTTATATAAACAGGGGGTAAAATTAGCTCTGCTTATTCTTATTAGCCTCATCCACAATCCGCAGGGGTAAAATTTCGCCCGCGAACAAACTTGAGAGCGTCATAGTGACGTCGGCTCTGCTCAGGGGGTAAAATTCCAGGGAGATAAAATTCCGGCGAACCAAAAACATACCCCGTTATATTACCTTTATCAGGAGGTAGATCTATTACATAGGCGTTGGTTATAGTCTTATCTCGCACAATACCGCATACCCCACTACATCAGTATTTCAAAGAAATTATCAATATTATAGCCTATTGAGTCTGATGGTGATTGGAGTGTCTAATCGAAATTAATCACCACTTACCATCTTTTATATGTATTTAACGTCTTGTGAGTAAACAGTATAAGTGCAAATACATTATTATAAGTGTTACTTGACGTATTTTTGTACTTTCATGTAATTTAATAAGACGTACGATGCTGATTAAGAATTTATTTTCATTAAATAGTTTACAAAGTTAGAATCAATATTTTGAACATTATGGCCTTGGCAATGACTTTGAATTGTGATACAACACGTGGATTTTTTTTACGTTCTTCGGTCAACAATTAATTTTACTATTAGGTTTGAAACGCAATGAGTTAATGGGAGTTAACTAAGTTGAAAATTATTGTACCAAGACAAGCATTGCCGGGTGGTTAGCTCTATTCTTAGTTCAGAAAATATTAGCCATCTCATATAGAGCAAGCCGGAGTGCGAGCTGAGCTGTTTAGTGACGTTCACTGCTTTCAAATAGGTTCGTCCATCAACTCAATTTACTTATTATAATATATTGAAATTATTTGGACCTTGAAAAAATCTATCAGTTTGGATTCAAAACAACTTTATAGTTAGTTAAAAATTAAGCCTACATCACTATAGCATCTTGAGCCTGACAGATTTGGGAAGGGTAGCTGATGGGGAGGGTTAAACATCTTAGTTTACTGAAGTTTGAGAGCCTCTGCCTCTTAGCGCTTATCATTTCAGTTGGAGTCATACTGTTAAGAACTGATAACCATGGGGGGCTATACCGTGCAGTCACCCACTATAATTACTCTCATGCTCCTTTTTTTTAGGGGGGGGGGGGGTAAAAAAAATCACTTAAATTTTTCTAGTCACAATGGAGGTATGCAGCCTCACTAAAAATCCTCGTTGTTTTCTTCTACACCATATCCTGGAACTGGCCTTTATTAGAATTTCATTGAGGTGGCGGGCCTTGCAGCCTTGTTCTGTTATGTTATCTCCTCTTAAGATATACAATTGTATATTTGTCCTGAGTAGCTGGTGCTTAGTAAATTACATAATCAGTATTCATCATTTCCTTTCTATTCTCTTATAACTATGCATTAGATACCTCTACATTAAATTCTCCTTCCCTTTCCAGCTTCAATGGGAGACAAGGTTTCCAAGAGTAACCTTTTTCCTAGATCTTCAACCTTAATTTAGGGCAGGCAAATTCCATTGTTTGAGAGAGGAATGCATTTCCCCACAGTAAACAAAGGCATATGAATCATCAATTAAATTGAACCTTTTCTTCTAAGGTAGTAAGAATATTTTACACTTATTTTCATTTTTTGGAATATTCTCCCATGGTCTTAGGACTAGAATGAGAATGAGTCTCTTAATAGTCCATTCTGCTTTCCAGTTTTCATGCACCCACAATTTATTCCTGCCTCAGGTCGAAGTAGTGATTATGCCTTCTTCCCACAAATTGAAATTGTGTAAAAAGCTTAACTTTCTGCATGTTTTCCATAAGAATAATCTCACAAGTAAACACAACTAATAATATATAATGTGTATTTCTCATTATTAATGACATGGTGTGTTGTGGTAACTCTTCATTCATTCAACAAAGATAATTAAATTAGAAAAATAGTAAAAGGAATTATTTGCAAAAGTTTCTCATAGAACCCCAAGTAAAAGACTTTGTTTCAAATTTTCCCAGTTCTAACTTTTTGGGAGAACTACATTTTGGAAATAGCATGCTGGGTTCATAAAAATTAACTGTCCACATTTAGGGAGAGGCAGACTAAACACAATTAAACCAGGAACAAGGTTATTGAATTTGTTGCTGTCCAAAAATCTCAAATACTTACCTAGAAGTTAAATTACCCTAGAAAAAAATTCTCAGGTTTAAACTCGCCTTTAAAAAAATACTCAAGATTTAATATTTTTTTCATTGGCAACTAATTTTTTAAAGGGCTGCTGAAATCAGATGTGACTGAACCTACTCACTCCATCTAGCTCAACCTTTTGTAGGGTAAATTTGATTTATCTATATATTAATTTGAAACTGTTTTTCTTTGTGATAGCTAATTTGAGAAACCGGCTGGGATAGAAACTCTGTTATTCTTAGGGGGGAAAACGGGCTTTTGTCACAGCTAATTTCAGAGAAAGGCTGGCCGTAGAAACTCTGTAGAGGTCTCTAAAGAAAGGTCCTTGGTCTGTAGATGAGCCATCAAATGAGAAACGAGGTGAATTCCCTTGGGGCTCTGCCCTAGAGGCCTTTAAAGTCCCCTCAGCAGATTTGTTTACATTATGACCATATGTATAATTTTACAATACTTTTTAATGAAACAGCTGATAATATTTAAATTGTGATTTACTAAATTTGTCAAAATGAAGTATTTGCAATGTTTTTTTTCTGATTTTAATACGATTTTCTTCTGCATCGTGTCATGTTTTCAATATAATGTTCTATTGCCAAATCAGTGGAAAATCCTAATATCACAGTATCTCTTAAAATTATTTCTTATGGAGTTAACTTATGTCTATTGTATGGGTTAGTTTCTGCCTTTTTTTACCACTTCTTGGAGATTGTACGTAGGCGTGTTGCACCACGTTGCACGTAGATGATATTCTTTGGCGTATTGCATCTGTAGACGATACTTGGGTTGGTGTAATTATTGCAATGGAAAAAAGTGAGAAATCCTGGACAATTTGATGTAGGCCTACTAAAAATAAAACTGAATTAACACTGTGCTACATTTCTTGAGCAATCATTGAAAGAGCCGATTTGCAAACAATGGAAACATAAGAAAGTCATAGAACACAACCAAGTAGAAGAAATAGAAATAATGTTTTTTTTTCTTCATTTATAATCTTTATTATAAAGAACCTAATGCGGCCATGAGTCGGAAACATTTGTAGAAAACTCTTAAAACAAGATCAGCTTTTGAAAAAAGATAAGATATTTACAAACAATTTTTATTATATCTAACTGTTGTGTACATCGTGAGTATTTCCATAATCTTTTAATCGACTTTTATAATGACCGTTATTCGTTTTAAAATAACGCCTGTACCTGTAATGCTTCGCAATTGCTCGAATTCGAGCAACAGGTACACTAGTTCTCTTTTATTTCTAGAAGATTCAGTTGTTTAATCTTACAATGGATGTATGTTAGTTTTAAGTCTAAGATTTAATCCTTATCTGTCACTTATACTCTCCAGAGAGTGTCACTAATTGCTTTCATGCACCTATTTAGTTTGTCAAAATCTAAAACATTAAACATATTTATCCTTTCTAGAGACTGGAGACAGAAAAGTAGTTTGCAGAACTTGCATGTTTACCCCACACAGCCCAAGCAATATGGAATGTACATTGTTGTTTTTAATGAGTACTTTAGCTGTTGTCTTTTGTGAGTGGCTTTCAGCAAAATTAAAGAAATGAGCTGAACAAATTCAAACACATTGAGCTTAAGATGAGCCTAGCTGTAATACATAATGAGCAAAGATGTAGCTATCGCAATATGTTTGTACTTGGGGTTCTGCGAGGAACTTTTGCAAATAATTCTTTTTACTATTTTTAATCAGGTTTGCATTCAGCCTCCAAGTTTAATGAACTATCAGCATCAGCAATACTTTCTCCCATTAGCCAACAACCATGAACAAGCAGTGGGAGTAGATATGGTACTTTATGGGTAAAATCACAAAAGTCGCAATCACTTTTGAAATATAATTTTAACTTTATTGGGGGTTGTACCATTTTAAGTAGTTACAAGGACCATAACTGATCAGCAAAAAGACTTAGGAGACTAGCTAATAAAATAATAAGTCTAATATTTTTTTATATAATATTATTAGGTCGGGACCAAACATTTTTCATTTCTTTCAGGTTGAGTAAACAATCTTGATCTTTATAGGATCAAAATCGGGTAGTTTCAGAAATAATTAGTTTAAAATATATTAATTGATATACTATAATCGGCTTATACAAAATCTGGATTTGATGCCAAATTGTTAGGGTCTTCTGTGGTCACAGTAAAATTGAGGACATCTGCCGAGGTCGCGAAGGGATTGTAAACGGCACGTGTCTACGCTCAAGGCAAAATAGTAAACCTCATGGAGACATCATCTTAGTCTTCTGCAATGCTAGCAAAATCATGAATGTCTCCTGTGTTTTACGGGAAACAGTAAACCTCTTGCACAATCGCGGAGACATCATCTTCGTCTCCTCCGAACACGCTGGAATCATGAACATCTCCTTTGGCCACAGTGAAATAGTTAGCATCTTGCACGAGCACTAAGACGTCATCATCGTCGCCTCCCATCATGATGTTATCATGACCGCCTCCTATGGCTGTGGAGTAACTGTTTGTGGCTTGCGCGAGTGCGGAGACCTCCAATCACAGCGAAATCATGAAAGTGTTCAATGGCAGCGGAGAAATAGTTAGCGCCTTCGCGGGAGATGTCATCTTCGTCTCCTTCAATCATTATGAAATCGTGAAGATCTTCCGAGTTTTCGGGGACATGATATTCGACTCCCCCGCGGTTGTGATAACATCCTGGACATCTCCCACGATTGCGGTTGAATATAGTGACAACTCCTATGTTAACGGAGAAATAGTGCGGAGACGAAAACGAAATCTTTTGCAGTGGCGCTGATTTCGTCGTCTCCCGTGAAACAGATTATCGGTAAAATTAATTTATCAAGAAAAAAATGTAGTCCCCAAGTGAGGCCTACTCCTAGGCCGAGGCACCCGGCAACCGCCGTGTCCGCCATTAGGGAAATACGGCCCTGACTAACGTGTAAACCTATGTTTATTCAAACGATTTTGCAAACCAGCATGATCAGACTATGGGAACGTGGATTTCATGGTTGTATAGTATGCTCTTAAAGGCCTTGAAAGTGGTACTGTAATTTTGTCAAATATTGGTACAAACTAGGGGCTGAACCATAGGACTGACAAAACTCAGACAACATTTTGGTTTATGCCAGTGTGGATGGAAAAATTCAAAGTTGAAAGAGGACATCAAACTTTTGATTAAAAATAAACAAAAATATATACTATGCTGATTTTCCAATGAGAGAAAAAGGGTTTGTCCCTCTAAGCTCACCCCATGGACATAAAATTGACTAAACTACATTTAAACACTATTGACGCAACATGTTTTATAACTTAAATATTGTATTATTGCTACAAATACTTGGTAAACATAAAGTCAAATCCATGTAGACAATGTTCTATATGATTTATACATACCAAACCTATATTAAATATAGAGGTTTCAAATAAAATCAAGATTTTACAAAAAACAAAGTTTATTTAACAAGTATGGTATGTTACAAGACATGGCTTTGGTGTTATAAAATAACAACAATACATCAGAAACTGTTACTTCAGCAGCACTGAATGAATGCCAATGTCTGTAATACAAAGATGAAGTTTCATCTAAAAAGCTTTTATACTTAAACCACTAAATAGGAACAAAATCTTAGTATTAAATTAACACATAAGAAACAGTTGAACAAACGAAAGCAACAAGTTTGTAGCCAATCTAAATACTTTTAAACGTGGAAAAAAATGAATTTCCACTGAGAAAAATCAAACAAAGTTTATCTAATGTTTTAAGATACAAAATAAAAACATGGCTTGGATGTTTAACAGTACAGAGTCCTTGGAGACTAGATGTCCATAAAACAATTTAAATCATCCAAGATGGTCGGTAGCCTCCAAGGACTCTTAAATTCAGTAACGAAACTGTCACTAACTGAATCGATGCCAATGCCTGTAATACAAAGGTGACATGGTTTCATCTTGAAAGCTATTATGAACCTTATAACAATACTAAAATAGGAACAAAATCTTATAATACTACTACAGAAACACACAAAAAACAGAGTTAATCAAACAAAAGTTACAAGTTTGTCATTACTCGCATCTTTCGAACAATACAACATAGTAAAAATGGAATTCAGTTCCAGGAAACAACACAGTAAAAATGTAATTAAGTTCCAGGAAACAATACAGTAAAAATGTAATTAAGTTCCAGGAAACAACATAGTAAAAATGTAATTAAGTTCCAGGAAACAACACAGTAAAAATGTAATTAAGTTCCAGGAAACAATACAGTAAAAATGTAATTAAGTTCCAGGAAACAACATAGTAAAAATGTAATTAAGTTCCAGGAAACAACATAGTAAAAATGTAATTAAGTTCCAGGAAAACCCTCTGTTTATATAAAAACAAACACGAGTCAAAGTCTGCAATTTGTTCAACCTACCCTGAAACACTTGTCATATATGAGTTATTTTATAACAATGAGCTATACAACCAATGTTTATTACTCTATGTTATGTGGAAGATGTCGGAGTTAAATGGTTGCGCTGGATCCTGTCAATTAAGATTTGTGCCCAGACTTGATATGAAGCTTGGTTTTTCATGAAAGTTGAAGAACTATCAGCTGTTAGCTCAAATAGATTGGTTAACATTTATTAATCTCTAGACTTTAACAAAGCAGTGTAGCAATTTAAATATTTTACCAGAAGACAAGAAATTTCCTCTAGGATAATGGCAAGTTTCAATTTTAATTTTTCCTCATGAAATCTGAATCTCTCCTATCAATCTTAATGAACATCTTTTCAGAAGAATAGAAAGAAGAATTATTGAAGAAAGAAATATTGCTATTGGCAAAGAGCTACAGCAACGACAGTACAGAATCTAAGATGACAGAAAAGGAGGGAAGCAAAGGCTCAATCAGCAAACATAAGTGAAGGACATTCTTGAACTCCAAGAGAGTTGGGAAAAGATTCCTGACAAAGACGTCATAACAAATTTGTTGAAAGCCGCAAAAGCAGGGAAGCCAGTTGGAGTCAATACCTGAGTGAGAAACAACTTCAGACGTAAGGGGAGTAGTGTAACTATTTAGGAAATGAAGGCTGAGAGAACGATCGCAGGGGTGGTTCTAAAAGCGACATGATCCACTGTTAACAGAATAATAAACGTTGGTTATACAACTAATTGGTTATAAAATAACAAATGTAAGTCACAACAAAAAAATAAAAAAAACAATATCACTAGTATTTTTCAGGTAACAAACGTTTAGTCTACTGGAACTATCCAGTTTAATACATCACTTAGTAACAATTCACTTTTTGGACTTAGAACGAGATTTCTTGGCTTTTTTACCCTTTGGCGCAAATTTTTGTTCTAGCGATTCCAAAAAGCCCATTGTAGGAGTTTGTGTTTTTCTTGACAAGATAGCCTTTGTTAGCTCCTCAAATTCTTGTTCTTTTTTGGCTTTTTTCACTACATCCTCTGCTTCTTTAGCCTCTTTTCTCAACTGAAAACAAAATAAAACAAACATGCATCATCAACCATAATAGAATTAAAACAGCGTAGAAGCTTATTAGGACTTTGTCAATGGATGTAAGGAATCACAAAAGATCTTTTGTCAATAATATTTTTATTTTAAACAAGGTAATAAAACAAGCTGTAAAATGTTTAAAAAATATGGCGAGTGGTTTTGGATTTTGATATGATTGACATCAATCGCCTATTGGGTATGATGATGATTCGCGTGTCCAATCAAAATCAATCACCTTTTACCATCATTTTTATGTATTCACCATATTGTGAGTCAACAGTATAGTCTAACCTTGATATAACAATTTTTTTTTTTAATCCCCTAGAACTCTCCATAAGACACAATGTATGTTTTACCACTACATAACACAAACCATATCAACGACCTTGATTAATTATTTACAAATTTGTCATGATCCCGGCTAAAATAAGACACCTCAAGATGACGAATTTATCACTGTCAGAACCTCTACATAGCGAATTTAACCTCTACTTAACGAATTGCCTGTGTCTCTCCCTCGATATAACGAACCCCCCACCCCATTATTGTTTTTGAAAAATCTGTTTCTTCATCAAATGAAATGGAAAGATGACGTCAACGCTTGCGCTAACATTGTCTGCTCCATTTTAACACATCTCTGTCTGCTGTTGTCGCTGCATCCGCGCTATGTTACAACTGAGAACTGATTTCATTCACTGAGGACTGAGACCACGTAATGTTTAGTAAAATGTGATTGGGTACTAACTATGGTGACTTGTACAATTTTTGGATGAAGATAAACCTAAGAAAGAAAAAGAATAGAAGAACAAAGCAAATAGAAAGAATAGCAACATCGTTATCTTAACATTCCTTTTAAGAGTGTTTTTATTATCTTGAAGTCTGCTATGATTATACACTTTTATAACGACTTATATAATATTTTCATTACTTTCAACTATTTGTTTAAACTAAGGCAACACCAATGCTATAATTGATGATTATTACAGTATCGACATTCCTCTGTTGTGATTTACAGCAGTACTATAGCACTGTAGCCTATCACGAGCAGTAGCTTACAAAACTCTCTACTGTTTTGTTTTGTTCTTTACGTGGTTTATTGCTATACAATACAGTGTTTGGCTAGGTTTTAGGTGGGTTAGAGAAAGCTGTGATTTTAAACTTACAGTTTATAACCTGTACCAAGGTCAATGACTAGAAATGTCATGATTGCGCAATATTAAAGATCCCTACCCTTTAGTACCCCAGATAATCGAGGTTCTACTTTACAATGCAAACACTGTACGCTGGTTCTGAACCTCGACTTAGCGAAATTCCTGAAAACCTAACCTCAATATAACGAATCTCGTTTGAACGAAATCCTTGATACAACAAATATTCAGTTTGGCCCCTTCAGATTCGTTATACCGAGGTTGGACTGTAGTATAAGTGTAAATAAACATTTTAAGTGTTATTAGACATAATTTTTATTTACATTCCATAAATGTAATTTCATATAATATGCTGATTTAAAGTTATTTAACTGTGAGATTCATATATAGTGAGAACTCATACTAGTGCTTCTATTGCAACTTAAAAATATAATAAAAGTTCAAAGGATGTTCAGCATAAAAGAGCTATCGGATTGTGTAAAGTTGCAAACTATCAATGTTGAAAACAAAGATGTATCCATCTGTAAATGATCTAATGATGTTATTAAAAAAAACATTAGCTTTGTTCTTTCAAGGTCGTAAAAGTTACTAACCCTTCGAATCCTACGGTCTCTCTTTTCTTGGGGCTCATTGACAAAAATGTCATAGGACGGAAGTTCGTCTTGCTCAATTAGTTTCATCAGGCGACCCCGAATTCGTTCTTCATCCTCCACTGTTGCGAACATAATATATTGGAACATTTTGTCAAAGTCTCCTTTACATTTCTCGTACGCTTTCTTTAGATCCTCGAGCTCTTCGTCTGATCCTGAAAACATTTAAAATTAATGTTTGTTGTACAGTATGTGCCGGGAGACTTCCAATCCTACCCGTAAGCCTATTTTATCATGGCTCACTCATTATCATATTGTAGCTTTAAATCACTACTCTATTAGAATATTATGAGATAACACTGTCAAAACAAATGTTCAGGGACAATGAACAAGCAATTATGAACATGTTGAATTTATGCATAGGCAGCATTTATTTTTGTAGATAGTTAGTATTTTTAGTGTACATACTTGAAACCAGGCCATGATTTAAATGTACATTTTTTATGTCATTAAGGACAGGGAGACAAGGTTTGAAGTATTTCTTACTAGTGCTAGGAGAATACAGAGTTTCACACCTGCGTGAGTGCGAGCAAGGGTTCATGTTGGTATTCAGGGGAAGGCTCCCACACCCCCAAAACCACAGGATCTGCACCTTCTAAGGGCCTATATTTTCTAATTCTGTTAATGTTTATGACATAACATATTGTAATATTTATATAGTTTAAATTAATCAATTTAAAAGTATGTGTTTTCGTTTTCCAAATTCTGTTATTTAAAAGTTAGGTACTGAAATAATTTTTTCACAAATCTTGAGGTTTCTCAATTAGTCTTACACTTGAATAACTAGTTTTACTTTTAAAAGTAACAGGAAGTTGAAAAGACACTCGCTGCAAGACAATTTTCAGCCGAGGATTCCACTCAACCTACTATTCCTATAACAACGAGCGAACTGGTCTAGTGGTTAGGGCATGGGACTTCAGTCCCGGGTTCAAATTTTGCCCAATGACCAATGGATTTTATCTAATTGATAATGCTGCAACCCTTAAGTCTAGCCTGAAGTACAATAGTATGCCATTAGTACTGCAGTAGCACAACTGGACTTCTTCAGTGTTCTATTACCAACTTAGCAATGTTAAATTCAAATAGCTCGTATTTACTTTTCTGCTAATGTCAAATATATTTTCACCTCCTACAGTTAAATTATTTGTTTAGTATTTGTCTGTTTGTTGCTTCTTGCTTAGCTTAGTAGGGTCCTTTGTTAAACTTGAATAACATCTACTGCATTTCACCTTACATCTACACCCTCCATTCAATAAGTATCGGGACTGGTTCACGGACTCAAAAGAGCGGTGGAGGGAGATATGACAGGTTGGGTTTGATAGAGGGGTCCTTCACCATTCAGGAGCATTTTAGTTTAGTCGCCTATGGGCATTCGTTGAGACAGGAGGTCGGTATTTGCACCAAGTGTTTTTTCATTGTGTCGGTACCGTCAAGCAACGCTGTGAAATTTAGCTTACACTCGGAAAATACGCATCGGAGACACTTGGCCTCATTAAACAGGCTTATTGGGATGATTCTTTAAGCTGCACACAAGTTTTTGAGAGGCACCAAATGTTTAAGGAAGGCAGGGAACTCGTCAAAGACGAATACCACGTTAGATGCCCGACAACCTCTCAAACCTCGGCTCTCGTGATAAAATTGAAAAAAAATGTTGGATTCTGACAGCATCTAACCATCGGCCATACTAGTAAGAAGAGATGCCCTTCAGTGGAAACCGTCCACACTATTGTAACAGAGAATTTGGCGATGAGAAGAATCTGAGCTAAGCTGGTGCGGAAAGTCCTGGGCGAGGAACAAAACCGTCAAGGATCGAGATTCCGCAAGAGATTTTGGGCTGTGTCCAGCAAAATCCTAATTTTCTGGACGTTATTACATGGGTGTTCCAGTATGGTGAACAAAATGTTCGAGTTGAGGGCAGGGGTCTCCGGCGAGAATTTTCCAAGTTTTAAGCAAACACAGCACTCCTCGACGGAACTTCCCATGTTGGCGTGACGACACAATGGAAAAAAAAAACCGTAGGTGACTACTCCAAAGTGCTACTGAACGATGAAGGGCCCCTCTACCGAATTCAACCGGTCGGACCCCTCTCCATAGCACTTTTGAGGCTACAGTGAACCAGTCCCGATACTTATTGAATGGACCCTGTATTCTATATGAAAATATCTCAATCATTATTTAATGTTTATTATCTAATTTATATTTATTATTCATTACCAAAGTTTAGCTGTCTCTTTTCAGATATTTTCTCACACTCTGTAGTTCTAGTTAGTTTAAGTAAGCTAGCATCTCATTTTGTTTTCTTTATCTGATTTGAATTCAAAGTGCCATCATGTTAACTAATTAATGTAAAATGGTGTAATCCGTTCCTAAACATATCCGTGTATCCGTTGTAATTAAATAAACAAAGAAACTGAGTTTAATCTTACCCTTGTACTCATCAGCATATTTGTCTAGGTCCGTAATAGTTACTTCTTTGAAGTAGTTCCTCCAGAATTCAACCCAATCTCTCTCTGTAAAATCTTCTCCTTCTTCGGACCATGACCCTGAAAAATAATAATGAGTATTACTATTACTAAGAACTCTCAGTGGCCACTCATCTTTATCAGTGTCATCTTTAAATACCGTATGTGTTTCAAGTTTTATTAGATGTATTTTTATTTACTTTGCCCATACGCTTGTTACACACATTTTATATAGTGTTACAACATAAGAAGATGCCACACAAGCTGGCAAAATGCTCTTCAAAGGATAATATACAAACTACAAAACTACTCAAATACCCCGCTGTAGCAAACCTGCGGACTAAGCGAATTTCCATTTTTTTTTTGGAATTACACTAAAATATCTCCTTACAAATTTTACATTTATTCCCGATTTAAATAGCATTGTTTTAACGAGTAATTTTTTTGCAACAGGGAGGGTTAAAAGCTATTTAGTGAAATTTGTATCCGTAGTATTGAAATAAATGCATTTTTTAAATTTGATCAAAATATGTTTCATAAACAAGCAAACTACAACAGTTTACTTATTCTCCATAATAATAACTTCCGGGGATTTAAAATTCTCCGTAGCCATTAGGCACACAATAAACAAAATAATTCGTTTTCTTAAGCTCTACAAAATGGTTTGGAAAGAAATTGTAAACTTTTATGTTTTTAGGGTAAAAAATGAAAACAAAAACACCCTTCCCAGTCCAATCATACTGGTTTGCGAATTTGAATAAATATAGGTTTACACGTTTATACCAAATTAAAATCAGACCATTGTTGCTCGAGTCCTCGTGCTAACGGACACACACACACACACATATGTATATATGTTACACTCAATCTCCGAATTCGGACAATGTCCGAAATTTCTACCCACTCCGCGATGTGGATAGTGTGAAATACCCACGACGCGGAGTGAGCATTTTATTCGGACATTGGCCGAAGTGAAATGCCCAGACCGCGTTGTGGGTAAATTGATTTACTCAAATGCCGAAGTCATAACGTTCTTCGGCGAGTGAGTAAATCCAAAATACCCACAACGCGATGTGAGCAAGATGTATTGCCCACGTCGCGTTGCGGGTATTTCTAGTTTAGGCAAACGCCGAATTCACGTTCAGACATTTCACCCCCACCATTTGCACTATTTGCGAATAGGATGGATGGACCTGTTTTCATTGTGTTTTCTTTACTGTTGCTGCCCTGTAGTGATACGCTCGTGATGGACAGTCATTTTCATCGAAAGATTAGGTATCGCCGAATCAACCGCTTCGATGTCATAAACATTGATGACAAAAATTGAAAAAACAACTGGTGAAATGACAGATATAAAATATTTTTGTCGCATTGATCAAATGTATGACACAATTCATTCAGCTCACTTGCGAGTTGGTCTTAAGAAAGAGAAAGCTATGGAAGTAGAGCTTAAAAAGAAATTTTGCAACATTACCAGAGAGGTGATTAAAATATACTTGGATATGTTCGAACCTTGCTCACTGAAGAAAAAATCTCAAAGTAAAGGACTGGCCGTTAAACCCATCATTATTGAATTCACAATGTCAGGTAAAATTAGTTTTAATTTTTAAATCCTTTCGCTAAATTAGAGTGACTTTAGAATAATGTGTCAATAAGTAAAAGAAAGATGTAACAAGAACTGGGTGATAATCGGCGTTTTAAGGTTACTCCTATTTTTGTAAAGCGGAAAAAACGTATTCTCAATGTATGTGTAATGGACCTTTTTATATTTGTTCCTATTCAGTGATTTGCAGTTTATTTTCTAAAATGCTATTTTATACATTAAATAATTATAATCAAAACATAAATTTGATTTATTTTACCTAGTGATTGTGAATTTCATGTAGATTTTTGGATATACGGTAGTTTATACAGGCTATTCGGCGTTTGCCCAAACTAGAAATATCCACTACCCGACGTGGGCAATCACTTTTGCTCACATCGTGTTGTGGGTATTTTGAATTTGCTCAATCGCCGAAGAAGGTTTTGACTTCGGCGTTTGAGTAAATCAGTTTACCCACAACGCGGTCTGGGCATTTCGTTTCGGCCAATGTCCGAAATAAAATGCCCACTCCGCGACGTGGGTATTTCACACTATCCACATCGCGGAGTGGGTAGAAATTTCGGACATTGTCCGAATTCGGAGATTGAGTGTAACATATATATTTTTGTCATGCATGTTTAGGGCTACTAATATAATACAAATTAACATAATTAACCAAGTACCCTCTTTTATAATTATTTTATTTTGACGACATGTTTGGGAAAGTTAGTCCATTATCAAATCATAATTTACCATCGTTACATAGGTATGGCAAATATGACTTGATGATATATTGTCATAATTCGCTAAAACAAAGGCTTCGAAAAACAAATTAGTCTACTTAGAGGAATGAGACAAACACACAATTTTTATCTGGTTATTTTAAACCAAACTAACAACTGTGGCATTGAAATTTAAAAGGCATAAATAGTAATAACAGGCAGGGAATTGAATGATGGATTAGTAGACATAATTTTATGCATCTGAACCTACTTGAGGTCCCCAGAGGCCAAAAAAACCCTCCGTTCAAATTTTTAACCCTCCAAGTGTCCATTGTAATGGCATTAATATCGGCCTATTTATTGCGCAATCGCAGGGTTTTATAAAAATGTATATCTTAGAAACTTAAACACACTCTAAAGTATACTGTTTTATATATAATTTTGTTTGGAAAATTATGGGCTTCAATGCAATATATAAAACATTACAAAAAAAATTTCCTACAATTTTTGTGGGGTTAATTACATCAACATCACAGTTACAGTTACATTACAGAGTACACATTACAGTTTTGTGGGGTTAACATTTCTCAAAAATTATAAAATAAATGAAAAAATTTTATGTTTGCACTCAATAAATTTTTATAATTTTAGGTCTACAAATATTTTAAAATAGCCACTTTGTTCTAAATTTTATGAGAATTCCAAAAATATAATAATATAAGGAAGAAGTTTGCAAATAAATAAGTTATGGGTGAAAAATTGATTTTGTACATTTAGCGTTAGCTAAGAATGCATAGCCTAACCATAGCTAGGAATTTGGTGGATAATTTACATCAATATCACTACCTACTTCTTCAGGATCATCAACCAGCCCTTCAAAATCACTTAAATCTTCTTATAATACACCATGTATATAACTAATTTTTATTTTTAACACTAAAACAATGATAAACGTAATAAAACACATCAGTCATCGGTGCGAGGTTAACCAAGTTGTTTACAAATACGCACGTCATCTGTCTGCTACAATATTTTCGGAACTAAAATGAAAAGCGTCTAGAAAAAGACATCAGGAGAAAGCTTCAAAGAATCTGCTGAAAACAACGATACCAATCTTGATCCAGTTCAATCTGATTCAGTCAGTCCCAGAGCCTTCGCCATAAACGATGTTTGAGTGTCGCAAAAGCGACGCATAACAACACGGCGGGTGTGTTGTGCGTCGATTACGTGACGCTTAACACTCGGAGGGATATACCTATATGTGTGTCCTTTAGTGCGATAACTCGAGCAAAAATGATCCGATTTTGATGAAATTTGGTACAAACATGTAAACTTACATTTATTTAACGATTTCGCAAACCATCATGATCAGACTATGGGAACGGAGGTTTATGGGGTAGAAAATTGGGTTTTTCCATTTTTGACTCTAAAAACACAAAATTTCATAATTTCTTTCCAGCCTTTTATGTAGGGTAGAGCTTAAAAAAGAAATAATTTTGTATATTGAAGCGTTGTTGTATATACTTTGGAACGGTTACGTACATATTACAGATATATTTTAATCAAGTTTGGCAATTTGTTTATTTCATACTAAGCTATCAACATTTCAATAAATTAAAACACACCTCAATACCTTCCCTGTAGCAGCAAACCTAGGTACTCATTCAAATTAATCCTATATAATATGAGTAAAGTTTGTAAACGTGTTTATACTTACAGTATAACTAAGTTCTGAGTCAAAAATAAAAAGTTTTGGTTTCAAACAATGCTATCAGAACATGAAAATTTATAGGAAAACCCGGAAAATTATAACAAAAACCAAGTTTTATTTAATGCTTACTACAAATACCGGGATTTATCTTTGTTAGCCTATATATTTTCTTATTGTCTTATTATTCAAAATCAGCCTGATTAATAAAGTAGTGACAACATTATTGTTAACATTCAACAACAGGTAATGGAGTTGAAAGGCAAACAAAAAAGTCTTACGAAATACAAATTATTGGCCTAGCACTGAAAGGGTTAAACAACAGGTGACTATTCAAATAAAGCAATAACCATTAGTTTTAACTATATCAATGAGGAATAATTTTGCACTATGTAACAGTAACTCACCAGTGTCATCGTAGATAGACCTTTTTTCGACGTCATTCAAAATCGAGAACACTTTTCCAAGGATCTTGAACTTTTCTGTCGCCTCTTCTCTTTCAGAATCCTCAACTTTGTCAGGGTGGTATGTGAGAGATAACGTATGGTAGGCTTTCCTCACTGAAATGAAATAAACCATTGAGACAAAAATAACTACCCTCAAGGGAATCTTATTTCTCTAGCAATAAAAGTATTCAACCCCTGCTTAATCCTCAGAGTTGTAAAACCCAATTTGTAACCACATTTAGATTGAAAGATGAATTCTCAAAGAAATGCCCATTTAACTGCCAGAAAAGTCTGCATATAATAACTATCAAGATCAGATTTTCAAAAAATACCAATAGCAGATTCCAGATTTGATTTTGACTAGAATTTAGTACACACGGAATATAAAACTATACTTATATCCCCTGATCGTCGTTTAAGTAATTTTTGTCTACACAAAGAATTTTTTTTACAGATCTAGTTTCTGGTGATATATTAATTACTAGGTTCCCATGGTCACCTTTTTTTAATATATGCATCAGCCTACTAAGGGCAGCAACTCCCTTAGCGAAAGACATCTTGCTGTCAATCATAACACCAAGGTATTTGGCATACGGCTTGGTCTCCAGTTGGGCATAGTGGCATAGCCTACTTGCACAGGTGCATAGTACATACATCCCCAAAAGTGTCCTGGCAAAGACGACCGAGGTTCCAACGTCGAGGCGGCATATGGACGCATGCGCTCAGAAAGTACCCTGAAAACAATTGCCTGGTGATCGCTTGCGAGTCTTCAGAGACTCCCCAGTCAGTGATCCGATTGGGTAGGCCTTGAGATGCTAGTACAGAAATGTCAGGGATCGTCTCTCCATACCCCGTGCGAAGGTAAGTGGAGACATTACCCGTGTTTAGGATATGAAGACCTAGCCTTACTGCCATCTCTAAAACATATTGCCCCTTGTTTTTGTTTGGAGAAAACCCCGTTCCACCGCCCTATCATTGAAATCTCCGCAAACAATCACCCCAGCATCGACGTTTAGGACCTCGTCCTCTAGAGAGTCGACCATCTGGCAGTACTCTGAAATGGGCTGGTTGGGTGTAAGGTGTAAGGAAGAAAGTTAAACCTCTGATCCGCACCCACACGAAACTGTTTCCCACACCGGAATCCAAGATAGGTATCTTACCAGGGTCAAGGACCCAGATAGGCGTAGTACCGGAAATATCAGGGAACCACTGAGCAAGTTTTGAAATTGCTCACTTAGCAGCAAAATATCGGCGCGTTGCTCGGTTGTGAAATGGTACAGCAGACCGTCAGCTGTCCTGCTCCTTTGCATGTTGAGCTGAAGGGCACGGTACGGATAATTTCTTGTTGAATAGGCAGACCTGCAGTGATTGCTTATCAGCACCACAACGGCTTGATCCCGCAGCGTGCTTGATGGCGTCGTTCCTCAAGCCGGCTTCTGTGCATAGGACACAAGATTCAGTGGAGCTGCTAACACTCGTCTTGTGATGCTGGCCACCGCACTTGTAGCACATATTCCATCTATCGGGACCTTTGCAACGATTTAAGCTATGTGGTTGAACCCTAGCATTCATATCACCTGGGGGCAACGAGCTTTTCGCGGACCCGACATCCCACCCATCCGACCTTTATGAGCCCTTCATCTAAGAGTTTCCCCCATCTCTAGCTCCCAACGTCAACATCGCCATCAATATCTGCCCTCCAGAGTTGGCCTTGGAGAGACGAATATACTCATCTCGGTTGATTCCCCGAGGACAGACTTGACTGCAGTGGGGACCTCTTCCCTCAGTCACGAGTTGGAAGGCTGTGGCAATGGCGGGCAGTACTGAAGTGCTCATATGTCCGTGCTGTAAAAAACTGTGCGAGGATACGGATAAATCTCTTTTTTGTGAAGGAATGTGCGGTTCTTGGCACCATGCCAAATGTGTCAACGTCTCTGCTAAGAAATATAATGAAATTCGCAAAATGGAGGAAGAAATCCGGTGGTTTTGTAAGGTGTGTGACGACAGAGTTATGAGCCTGATTATTCTGGATAGAAGCCAGCCTGGAATCGTAAATGAGATGAGGGAAATCAAGAATCACGTAAGTCAGTTTTCTAAACTTGGGGAAAAGCTGGAGAGGAAATTAAAGATTTTAATTAATAATAGCATTAAAACCAAAGTTGGAGTTAACAGAATTTTAGATTCTAGAATGACAGATAACTTGTCGATTTCCTTAAATCAATCAGAACCTGATCTGACAAGTCTTGATTCAAACCCGGGAAATTCAAACATATCATATCAACAAACAGAAGGCCCCGAGTCATCCCCATTGGTTATAAGTGAAGTTGACAAAATTGATGTGGCAGTTGACCTGTCTGACCACAACGGAGCAGCTCGAGTCAACGGTGTGAAGAATATCGTGACTGCAAACGAACCGAATTTGGAACAGAGTGAAAACGCACTACAGGAAAAAATGAGTGGTCCAAGTCAAATTGTGGAACGGACTCATAGACTGGAACAGCGAAATGTTGATCGAAGTCAGAAAAAGTGTAATGTGGAATTGAATACAACAGGAAAAGAGGAAAAGGAGAAACCTGAAACTGAAACTAGTGAAGAAACTGTCGAAACCGAAAGTGGGAATGAAGCGGAAAATGAAGCTGGACGTTTACCTCGTGTTGAGTGTGTTAAGAGTGGTCTGCTAACCTCTAAGAAGAAACTCTCTTACGCGGAATCGCTTAAATCAAAGAAAAATACTCTGAAGGTGAAAACGTGACTGAAGGTGTCAGGGTGGCCTCCTTTAACAAAAACGAAGTAATTATAGGTACTTGTGGTGAACGAACTAGCCTGAAGCCAGCTGGAAACCAGTCATTTTTCTTTGTGTCCCGAGTGTCACATGAAACGACAAAAGAAGATTTGTCCAAATATCTGAAGGACAAAGGTGTAACTGAGAGTGAGTGTGTCGATTTAAGCCCCAAATTCAAAACATACAAGTCTTTCAAGATCGCTCTACCTGAACAGTTGTCGCACATGATATTAGATCCAGGGTTCTGGCCTACTGGAATTCTAGTCAGGAACTTCATCCATAAGAAACGTGGACCTAGACCGTCGTCCTCTTTTTTTAGGGAGAACTGTTTACAGAACAATGACTACGTAGCCAACCCTGACCCAGTTCCTAGGTTAGGTTGTGAAAGTGAAACTAGGCCTAGGCTTGTCGTTTGCCCCAGTGGAAAAACTGTTACTAACCAAACCAACCCTGACCATAGGACAGAAACTGTAAGTAGGCCTAAGTTGGACTGTGTAAATATTGCAATTTTAAAACACTCAGTGTATTAGAACGAAAATAAACTTACTTGATATTTTTGTTGAAGAAACTAACTGTGATTTCCTCTGTGTAGCTGAACACTGGCTGGTACAGGAAGAAAGTACTTATTATCAATCATTAGCTAACCTAAATCTAGCCAGTATCTTCTGTAGAAGTAACCACAAAAACGGTGGTGTAGCCATTTTTACTTCTGGGAAATTTAACTGCAAGAAACTGAATCTAGAAAATTTCTGTACTGAACTACCTTGAACTGACAGCTGTGGAGATAGTTGATATTTCAGCTATACTTGTAGCCATTTATAGATCCCCGGACGGAGCTTTCGAGGACTTTATAAACCAACTGGAGAAATGTTTGATCTATCTATCTAGATTTGAACCCAAAAAACTTATAGTTTGTGGTGATTTTAATGTACACCTTGAGTATCCTTCTCGGGAAGAAGCAACTTTTGTTAATCTGCTGCGTAGCTTCGGACTCTTCATCACGATCAGACTGCCAACTAGAGGACCAGCCTGCCTTGACACAGCTGCCACTAACCTCGACTCCTGGGTGTATGAGGTCCAAGTTGTCCATCCCATGGTCGCCGATCATGATGGGGCGGTTGTCTTAAGTGTTTCAACTGATCTGGTAAGAAACTCCTTGTCTCTCGATAGCTCTAGTAACCAGGTAGGCCTAATTAAGAGCGAGTGATTAAAGATGATGACCTTCCTATTCTTAATAGCGCTTTACAGGCAGTAAATTGGGACTCACTCCTGGAAATATCAGATCCGGAAATTGCTTTTACTACATTCCATGACTTGTTTGCAGAAAAGTTTGACTCTGTCTTTCCTGTTAAGAAATTAAAACCTAGAAAAACGCCTGTAGGTAAAAGCAAAGCCTTTTGTAGGGAAAGCAAAACTTGGTACACTCCAGAGCTTGCCAAAATGCGATCTTTCTTACAACTTCTCCATGACCACTCAAAGGCTGCAAACTCGCCAGAGGTCACAGCTAAATTTAGGTGTCTGTACACGAGGGTTAAGAAAAAATACAGTCTCAAAATCCATGCAAAGCTGCCTGGAATCTTGTTAATAAGCACCGTATTCAGAGACCAATACTTAACACTGAAGCTACTCCTGATGATTTTAATAACTTCTTTGTTAATAGTGTTCAAGACATTGTTTCTAACTTACCTGTTTTACAGACGGACCCTTTGGCCTCAATTAATGACATACCACTCGAACTCTCACTAACATCTTGGAAAATGGTGAGTACTCAAGAAATCTTATCTATAGTTAAGAACTTCAAAAACTCTAGAAGTCAAGATCCCTATGGAGTGTCTTGCATGGCCCTAAAGGCAGTTGTAGAAACCTTAGTTGTACCTCTTACTAGGCTAATTAATCTATGTCTCCGGAAAGGTTCTTTTCCTGATTTGTTGAAAACTGCTAGAACCGTGCCTGTGCATAAGAAGGGCAGTGCTTCCATTTTGTCCAACTTTAGGCCTATTTCTATCTTGCCTATTTTCTCAAAGATTCTTGAGACCATAGTGAAGAAGAAGCAGCTCATGTCGTTTTTTGAGGAAAACAGCCTGTTCATTGATGCCCAACACGGTTTTAGGAAAGGCCGCTCGACCACCACTGCCCTGTTGAGCCTGGCCGATACCATATCTGAAGCCTTCGAACGGAATGAGTCTGTCCAGCTTAGCCTCTGCGACTTAGCTTTTGACGTTGTGCCTCATGAAATACTCCTATTAAAGCTGGGCAAATATGGCATTGGCGGCAATGTCCTCAAGAGCCTCTCAAACTATTTGAGTGATCGTAAACAGGTTGTGTCTCTGCGGGGGGCCCTTTCCAGCGTGGGCCATCTCTCTCATGGCGTTCCTCAGGGATCAGTTTTAGGCCCTCTCATATTCACGATCATGATTAACGACTTACATATGAATGGGAGAACGTTGTTGTTTGCAGACGATACGACATTACTGACCAAGGGTGCTAATATTAACTATCTAGCAACAGAAGCTGAAGACCTGCTTGAAAAAGCAAAAGATTGGTTTGTGACAAACAGACTCAAAATAAATGACGACAAAACCCAGTCACTAGTCTGCACCCTAAAACAAAGAGTTGAGGAAGTGGGAGTGGTAAGGCTCCTAGGTTTCATGGTAGATTCTAGGCTGAGTTGGAACCAACACATCTCACAGGTATGCGTTAAGCTATCAAGAGTCCTCCATCTCCTTAGAAAACTTAGGCCTGAAATTCCCGAAAATTCTCTGCTATCAGTGTACTATGCGTTATTCCACAGCCATGTGACCTATGGGCTGGTACTGTGGGGGCACTCTTCAGCGGCCGAAGATGTGCTGCTCTTGCAAAAGGCAGCTTTGAGGATCGTAACATCTGCTGGCTACTTAGATCACTGCCGACCTATCTTCAAGGACCTAGGAGTCCTTACGGTATACAGCCAGTATGTTCTGGACATTCTGACCTTATTGAAGAGCAACTTAAAGGCTCACCTTAGGAGAGAAGAAGTACATGCGCACCACACCAGGAGGGCCCTAAACATAGATTTCCCCCGCTGTCGTCTCAGCCATACCTCGAGTAGATATCCACGCTCAGCCATAAGAATTTACAATACGCTGCCCACTCGAGTGCGGGAGATGGATGTGCCCTCTTTAAGGAAGACACTAAAAGACGCATTGATTAAAAGGCCGCTGTACTCCTTAAAGGAACTTGAGGATGAGCCCCTTGTTAGATGAGTTTCTGTCCGCCTTGCCAATAGTAAACGCCCAAGTTAAGTTTAGTGACTCAGTATAATTACTGTAAATAATGTAAATAGTATTTATTTTTATCATTAATATATATAGGCCTAACGCAATCTATCAGACTGGTTCTGTCAAAGATGAAGAATTCAAGTATAAGTAAGTTAAGTTCGTCAAGGTCCCTCACATCCAACGCCAACATTGGCTCGAGAATTCAAACCAAGGCGTTTGCACCAAGGATGGATTGCAAATCGGCCCTGGGTAATTCTGAGCAATTACTTGGTCAACCCCAATTTTTTTCATATTTTACTACGGTCATCAGGAGGTTCTCAGAAAGCAAGACACATTTCATTCAAGGCCCGCAAGGCCATGGTACAGGTTGCCGAGCGATAAGAAGGTTTAAAGTCCAAGCGATAACAGTGGATTGCGGGAGACGTGCGGAAGGCCAGTTGTGACAGTACCGTTATGGCTATGGCTAGTGGTTCCTCCGACAATCCTCCCGGCGATTACTGAGGTAATTAATAACCTAACTTAACCTAACCTAACCTAACTTATTATGTTTTTTTAAGTCTCAAATACATCTCTAAGGCCAATTGTAACAGTACCGTTACATTAGGTTAGGTTAATTAATAACCTAACTTAACCTTGCGGGGCTTGAATTATACGTTTCTTGCTTTCTGAGAACCTCCTGATGACCGTAGTAAAATATGAAAAAAATTGGGGTTGACCAAGTAATTGCTCAGAATTACCCGGCCCTGAAATCTGCCTTCGTCCCGGAGGAATTGCCAAGCTCTGACTTACTAGGAAGTCACCACCAGCTCAAGTTTTTCTGAGCGATTTGATGGCAATTCCACCTACCGTACTAAGTTAGTAGTCCTGAACTTACCAATGATAATTGTTTGATAATTTGCTGTGAAAAATAATGGTAGGCTATATTTGTATGGAGGTAAACAACTATAACGTTAGACATCAAACTTAAAAATTTGTGTGGAGGCACCTATACTGTACCTAAAATTACCAAGATAATAACTCTAATAAGTTACGGTAGGCATATAAGCATAAGCCCTTTTAAGCTAGGACTACCTTAGTAGGCCTAGTTTGAGATAGGATAGGCCTACTCTAGGGTGATATACAAACCACTAAGGTTAGGCTAAGGCCTACTCAACGCAGGCAACAAAAAAAGTTAAGATAAGTTAATAACTATCTAATAGGGAGGGCATAGGCCTAGGCCTATATGCCTAGCTTTCCTGAGCGTCTAGGCCCTTGCTAGACCTACCTTAGGGTAGGCCTAGTTTGATATAGGATAGGCCTACTCTAGGGTGATATACAAACCACTAGGCTTGAACTCAAGAAGGCAGGCAACAATCAAAAGTTATGTTAATCTACCCAAGTAATAAGGTAGGCATATCATAGGCCTAGGCCTACTTAAAATAGGAGTACAAAATCCTTGTTATGAAATTAGCATAGCCCAGTTAAGAAACTGTACCCGACTGCTCTGCCTATAATTTTGAATCATAAACTAACTAGGCCTATGTACTTTTCCCCATAGTACAAGCCTACACTGAATAGCTCAGAGGCTCTAGGGCTACCAAGGCTAAACAGAACTTAACTTACCCTCCCTTTGAGATGCTGTCCTCGGAATGTTAAGGATTTCGTAAAAATCCTTTGTGTTGAAGAACGAAATGCACGATTCTCCGAAGTCCATCTCGATAGTTTTAGAGACAGAAAAGTCTTTAATACCTTTAACGAACAAATACGATTATCCCAACCGTCTAGTGAGGAAGAGGCCAACGTGAACGTGAAACGTGATCACAAGAAGGAAGAATGGCGCCAAAAGATTGGGAAAAAAATGGCTTCCTAACAGTGTATCCACGTCAACAAAACAAAAATCCCGCCTTTCTGATCGAGAGAATCCCACTTTGGTGCAATGGAAAATCCCATTTCATCCCGCATGAATTTAGTAAAATAATCTTGATCCATCCCGAACGATTGTTATAACTTATTAGTCATTGATTTATTACCGTATTGCAACTATTCAATTATTTGTGAATAAACTAAAATCAGTAACAAATTAAAATTGAGGTAAGAGCCCAACATCTCACTTTAACCCGCGTACTGTTTTAATCCCGTTCGTGGTATAAATCTATAAAAAGTCCCACCTCCGGGATAAGTAAGAATCCCGCTTGTGGAAACATTGCTTCCTACTTCCTAGCTTTTCTAAGAAAAAAAAGAGGCATGGAGGAATATTGATGTTTCATGAGATGTTTTTTGGATAACTATCAACATTGGTTATAAAGTATAATCCTTGACACAGTCTATCCAGAAACTCTGGTCAACGACGTCGCAGCAGGTATTAAAGGTAGGTAATCAATGCCAATAGTATAAGAATTGATAGGTCGTCTTCGAAGTGGAGATTGAAAATGTACCTTCTTCTTCTAGTCTGGTCTGGTTATCATATTAGTCCAGTCAATAAAGGGATTGTAGAGGACATGGAGAGGGGAAAATTTTTGTTCTGCGGGAATGTGTTCGGGGTAGTTAGAAGATAAAAATACCAAAAGTCCCCGCCCCTGGCCCTGCTGCTTCAGCGGGGGGAGGGGGGGAAAGACCCCATTTTTTAGTTTTTTACTTCTACACTGAAAACCGTGCATCGTACGGATCATTTATCATTTATCAGAATTGGCATTCTATTTAAACGGTCCCCTTAGCAGTTCTGGCATAACGGCCAACGAGGAACAATTAATGGACATTTCATTGCATGTACATCTTTAATTGCTACAAAAATAAGGCCAACATTTCTCGTGGGTTAGGTGGTTCATTGGTTAAAACTAGGAATAGATTACCTTTTTGCGCTCCCAATCCCACATTTCTGAGGGTAGTTGGTTTTCCAAACAGAGTTGTCCTTCATTGAATTATACAAATGATGAAATGTCATATATTTCTAAACTGACAGCAATGTTTGAAAATCACCCACTCTTCCCTGAAACTCAAGACATAATGTCAATAGCATCTGGGGTTGTAGGAGATGAATCCGTTAACTGTTACGATGCTGTATTACGTAGTCTGCGAGTAATTAATCAAATTGTAATCATTTACAGACAACAAGCTGTCACGGGAAAATATGGCTCTCCCTTTGTCCTCTGTGAGTTCAACCATCGATATCAATGATTAAAACGTTGCAGCAAAACCTTAAATTCTGTTTCAAAGGATTTTTATAAGTTAAAAAAGTTATCAAGATTTAAAGGATTGTTAACGATTTGAACTTGCTCCATATCCCTTTATTTAATGAGAGTGGTATGAGTAAAGACCAAAAATGCCTGCACTGTTCAAGTTCTTTGGAACCCACCAACAACAGTTTTAACGACTTTTAATTTGGTTATCGATGGGGTATCTCTCACGCATAAGGTTATATGGCAAAGGGATCTTCAGTGTCTGCGATATGTGATGGATACGTGAGGTACGTGGATATAGCAAATTCAGAAAACAGCACGAAAATGGCAGACCAAGAAAGATACGCTACAGATTGAAAAAGTCAGTACGGTAACAGTGGCGGTCCCAAGATTTAATTTCCGGGGGGGGGCCTCCGTTGGTTAACCCCCTCCCCCGGAAAAAATGTGCAATTTAAAGCACAATAACGTATTTTTTATATGCATTTGAGCTCTAAAATATCTTCAAGCTAATAGTATTTATGTTAGCTAATAAAATATTTCGGAGAGGATACTCCCCCCCCCCCCCAAGGGACCGCCACTGGTCAGTAGACATTCATTTGAACAGAGACACCAAAATTATAGTAACCAGGAACAGTTAATCCCTTAACCAAGTTTTTTGCAAATGTACTCAAGATTATAACAGTAAACAGTGCCAGATGTGCAATTTGTGCATGCAAGAAAATATCCAATAATTGTTCTCCGTTATGCCAGAACTGCTAAGGGAACTTTTTACGTTAAATGCCCATTCTGATGAATGAGGAAGATGAAGAATATACAGTCCTACACCGAATTCTCACTTCGATAGCCAATATTGAGTCTAATCAACAAGAATTGAATGATGGAGATGTCCTAGATGGTGGTTTTCAGTTCCAGATGGCACCAGTTTTTGGGACAGAAGTCGGACCCTCTCGTCCCAAGTGAGCCAGACTGTGAACAATAATATTAAGTCTTGGTTTCGGTAATTGTTATAAATAAACCTGGATAAATATAGCTACAAACATAACCTTTTTAATTTTTAGTGTAATAATTATGCCAAAATTAGATGTTTCCATGACAAATATACATAATTTATTTAAATTTATATAAACTATTTTTAACACAATATATACGATTGATATATTATATTATATAGTTTAGTGTTCAAAAACCTGTTTTCTATCCTAATTGATGTGAAACAACAACAGGCTAATGGATTATATAAACTTATTTGACAAAAAACGCGTGAAAAATCAATTTATTTATGAATTTTTATATTATTTTGAGAATATCTTTTAAACCAATGCATATACGGAAGAAATGAATACGATCATTCTTGTAGATAATTTTATCATCTTTCTTTTTATAATTTACATTTTTTCCATACGATGCACGGTTTTCAGTGTAGAAGTAAAAAACTAAAGAATGGGGTCTTTCCCCCCCTCCCCCCGCTGAAGCAGCTGGGCCAGGGGCGGGGACTTTTGGTATTTTTATCTTCTAACTACCCCGAACACATTCCCGCAGAAAAAAAATTTCCCCCTCTCCATTTCCTCTACACCCCCCTTTTGAGCATTCATTGACTGGACTATATGAGATTCTGACTCTAAACAACTACTTGATACGTTGCCAATTCTACCAGGCCACGACCTTCTTTAACTCCAGGCCATGGCCTTCGAAGTGGCAACATCGCAAGTAGGGTTGTAACAGCTGTTTTGTTTGTTTGGATGCAAATAATGGTATTTGTGTATGTTTTAAGAATATGAAAGCTTGGTTACTGGTTTATGAAAGTATTGACTCAGCTTTAAATGCACAAAAATAGATTTTAAATTAAAATATTGTTCTGGTTTTCAATTCTATTTCTACATCTTTTATTTTCAATCTTTTGATAAATGTATGCTCATGAATTTAAAATTAAATGAACAATACGCGAATTAATGAGCTGGTGTCATCTGTCTGCCATGTTATCTTATGGGACGTCTGGCGCTAGACAACACTACTTCCAACGTTGCCAATTCTACCAGGCCGCGGCCTGGAGTTTAAGGTGGCCGTGCCTAGTTAAAGTTGGTCGTGTGTATATATTATATTGCATTGTATTACACATGTTTCCAGCTTAGTCTATGGTTTATTCACTTTTCACGTTTATAACAATATTTTAAAAGCTGAGATTGACATAATCATCATCAGACTCAGAGAGCGAAAATTGGCTTATAAAATATTAACTTTTTGCCCTCGAATTAAGGTTAATAGTGAGGTAATTTAAAATGACTAATTTTTCCCTGGCCGGTGACACTAGTCGAGTAGACGAAATCGTAAGCAACCTCTCCTCTGCACCCCACTTCCACTAATCAATTCCAGTTTAGAATTTAACTCGTGCTGCTAACTGACATTGACTTATATGATGACGATCAGTGGTGTCATTTCACAAAATCCTTGGGGGTTGCAAACACTGGGGGGTACGGAATACCCCCCAGCAAACGGGGTAAAATGCGCAGTTTTGATACAAAGAAAGAGGGGTTTAAGCTTATTTTAATTGTCAAAAGCACTCCAAATAAAAACAAAATTATGAGTACCGGTAACATTTATTTAAATTTAGGCAGAAAATTAATGAAACTAACAATTATTGACAACAGACAGAAACATAATAATATGTTGATAAGTTAGTCATCTAAGAAACGCGATCAATAGTTTCATGGTGTAATAATATTACACCATGAAACTATTGATCAAATTTTATTTTTGTTATTAGATTTATGACCAAATTCTCTTATACAACATTTAGACCTATAGCAATGAATACGGTTGTATTCATAGCCTATAGTTTAAAACAGTTTAATTTGGTTAAAAAAAAACAAAAAAAAAACAAGTATTTAAGTACTTAAAAGCAAATCAAATTTTATTATAAATAAAATAATTGACACAAAATACTTTGAATGTGCTACTGAGACACACTAAAAAAATAACATTTTTGTTTCAAATTACTGTAGAAGAATAGGCAAGATCTGATTTTTGTCTGCCGTGCTTTTTAGGATTTGATAGGAGAAAATATTAATATATTAGCTGGTACAGCATATTTTTTCTCTAGTCCAGGAACCAGGGGGTGCCCCCCAAATGACGCCCCTGATGACGATTAAGATTTAAAGCTAAAGCTTTCAGTGTCTAAAAGCTTACCAACAATCTTAGAAGAAGAATTAAGCTATAGTTATGACTTATCTCTGTATAGTGTAATTCCTTTTGACTACAAATTTGAGTGATTTGACAAACATTTAACAACGAGTGACCCAATTTAATAAAACAACTAGTTTAAGGTATTTTTTATTGGAATGTGAAATGTCACCTTCTTGCCCAGTTTTCCGATGGGGGGGGGGGGGGCGCTACTTACCTCAGCGTTTCCAAAACTCCAAAACTTCCTTTTTTATCACCAGTTGTCAACCATATGCAATATTATTGATGGTATCTGAAAGCAGAAGATGGAGAGGCCTGTGTCCAGTCTGTAGAGATAAAAAATGTGCAGAAACATTAACGTTTGTTTAGTGCTTATGATGATTGGCCTATAACTTATACCAGCCGGATCTAGCCATCTAATCCAAGTTAGTCCACTTTGTATAAATTGTGGAGTCGAGTTAACATTCCTGCTAATGCTTATGAAAACCGCA